ATATATTTCATATATAATAATAATATATGGTATATATATTTACCCTTGCAGAATGGTGGAGAGTTTGTTGCTTTCAGCATTTGGTGGCCCGACGTCATTTGGCTCAGGTATTTATAGGCGGAAATGTTCTGCGCAAAATTTATTTGTATATAGAATGTTGAGAGCTTTTTTTGCAGTTGTATTGTGTTTACAATTGGATTGTGATTACAAAAGCGTATCGCGGGTCATGATGTGTGCAAACATTAAATGGCGTCGTTACACGCTCCCATCCTGGCCATCCTGGCAATCCTGGCTATCCTGTCGCTCAATTCAGTTCACTTACCGAACGCACAGATATATATGATGCGTATCTGTGAGATACATTCCATGTAAATACAACAAGAGCTGGCTGTGTATATATATATATATATATATGGGAGTGTGTGTGTGTGTGTTTGTGTTTATATATAGCTGGCAGCCTTTACATTTTAACAGCAACAAACATTACACGCACCGCTGTGTGCGTGTGTAAGTGTGTGTGTGTGTGTGTGTGAGTGTGCCAAATGTGCGTGTAATTGCAAATTCAATGAATTGTTTACATTTCTTTGCGCTTGTTGGCATCACAATCCCCTCACATCAGATGCCCCACACTCTCTCGCCTTCAGCTGGTCATGTTTTGTTCTTCTGGTTGTTGTTGTTTCTTTTTTTTATGTTGCTGATTTCATTTATAATTCGTGTGCAAAATTAAATTAAAGCCAACTGACAGGCAACGGCAACAACAACAACAATGGCAATAGCAATAGCAATGCCGAAACCTCCCGCCGGCTGGGCATTGCGTTTTAGCTGGCAATCATTTCCATTAGCCGTGGCAGCCAGCAAATTTCACATAATTCACAACTGGAAAATTGCTGTCAGTTGCGCCAAGAAGAAGAAAATTTGAGTCGAGCCTTGGCATGGCGTGGCATGACTCCGGCACGCATGCATCAAACTGCAACAGAAACAACAACAGCAACAACAACAACAACAACAAAGGGAAGGCGCGCAGTGCAAGAAAAGGCTAATTGCAATTTGACTGCGTTTACAAAAGTTTTGCAGTCGCGCTTCAAATTGCTTTTTTGCTATGAATAATTTAACTTTTCAGACTTTCGATTTGAAGAAAACACGAAATCACGAAACCAACCCGAAAATAAAAGAATATAGGAGAATTATAAAAGAAAAAGAGAGAAATACTTTTTTTTTCGCACTAAAAACTAAAAACTGAAATCTGAAATTCCGGCCAACCTGAGGTCGGACTAGAACGGAATGGAAAAACTATTTCATATTGCGCAAGTTTCGGTTTTCTTAACAAATTGAAGCAATTTGCCACACGCAGCAAATTAAGCGACGCCTGGGAAACTGCACATGTTAGAACTATATACATATATATAGAGAGAGATATATACATATATATATGTATATATATGTATATGACAGTTGCACATATCGGCTCTTGGGGACTTGGTGAACCCTTTGCTGAATCATTCATCATTCATCATGTTAAGCGTTTTATTACACAGCGCGCATCAGTCTCTTAGGCTTGGCTCAAATCCCATTACGGTAATTAAATCACATCCATATGGAAATTACATAATTACAACACACACCCATACGAGCACTTACACATGCACATACTTATATGCTCATAGTTCATATGCACAAGTCTATAAACATATTAAATATAATTTACTTAATGTCAACCCTGAGAGGCATTTTTAAACGCCAGGAAATGAAATTTAACACTTTGTCAATTAGTGCGCCCGAGTTGCTTGATTCCTGGACCTGGGCTTGAATAACTTTATGACTGCCGTGGCCAAGTGCAAAGGTTCAAAGGGTGAATCTGGCCACGAGCACACCCCGAGCTGACCCCGAGCAACCCTCAGCTTGCTTCACATATTTGCACACATTTGATTTGCGCGCGGCATTTCGTTGGGCAAGGATGCCCCAAGGATTTCATAAAAACATCGGTAATTAGATCTAATTTTCCAGAGGGGGAAAAATTAACCAAAACTTTGCTTGCTTTGCCTTGCCTCTGCCCAGATTGGAAAGCACAAAAACGAAAGAAAGCATTAATCAAGTGGGGATTGCTTTTGGAAATGGCCATAGTTTGGGCCAAGCTTATCTCATTAAGGCCAATGAAACTTGTTTCTTTGTTATTTGTGCTGCTTACAGAATAATTTAATTAAGCAGATTTATTAAGTTTCGCCATGAGCAATAATAATAAGAAAATGCATCGAGTTTTTTTACGTCAGTCTGCAGTATTGTGTTGGAAGGCCTAGAATCCAATCACAAACTTGTCAATTGTTTTGAAATCAAAGATAAGCTAAAGTCTTTAGCTTTTCCTTGCTCAGAGCACTGTTGAATTGCAATTCATCAGCAAATACTTGAACTTCAGCCAATCAAAGGCTACACAAAGAAAGCCCTGTGCTGTATATTAGATGCAGTAGAATCCGGTCATAAGGAACTCAAGGGGTTATAACCGAAAGACCACCATATAAGTTTGCTCATATAAGTTTGTCACCAACCTTACGGAAGTAAGCGGAATCTTTATAACCGGTTTCTACTGTATTTATTATATTTCACTCTTCCATATTACGATTATTCTTATTCCACAAAAGGTAGGTGATATGATACCAAATGATTATAATTTAAGAGTGCAAATATGTATAGATCTTTCTGTGAAGTCAGCTAAAAGCAGAAAGCAGTTTTAATTTTAGCCAATCTAAGTGTTTCTAGCTCTAGTCCCAGTTATATTCTCGACTTTTAGCTACTTTGATAGTCAAGTAATGGCGATAAATCAAAACATTTAACTTATTTACTTCAGTCTGTTTGATTGGACTGCAAATGATTGATGGGAAATTTCATTAAAATATTTCCTCGTGGCATAAATTGAAAAGAACATAAATGATCTGATTTGAGAGTAAACCACAGATATAGAAACTTTCTGAGAAGGATTAATTACACAATTGATTATCATTTAAACATTAAGGAATTGTAAATTCTAATGCTCAAATTATGTGTACATATTTCGGAGCTGTAATTAATAATGCAGATATAATTATTATAAGACGCTGTTCTTACCGATATTTTTATTTAATATTAGATATAATGAATCGGATGTTAGTGAATACAGCAAATGGATGTGACTGAGAGCATTTTGGCCTTCTTTGATTAAAAAGGAGAACACGTGCAGAGATTCGATCAGACTGAATATTAAATACATTGGATAGATAGATACTATAAGAATACTACAAAAGCGATATATGTACATATGTATATGTTAAATATTTATCACAATAGTTGATAATTAAACAGATCTTTTATTGTAAATGTAAAATTAGAAATACTACAGATCTTAAACATCTATATAGCAACGAGCAAAACTGTGATACGAATTAAATATTTTAGCTTCAAGAGTAAGCTTGATTTGTTAGTACGACATTAGGCTCTCTTATCTACATATATATTACCTATATTTAT